ATTCCAAATTAAATAAATTTCTATGGAGGCACATTAAAATGCTGTAAATAAAATACAATGAAAATGATCTTAATAGCACCAGAAACATGGCATTTCCTATGGAGGAACACCAATTTGAATGACAGTGGGTTTGCTACATGAAATAATGAAGGCAAAATGGAAACCAAATATTTTTCAAGTGCTGTCAACTTCAAGGAAAAGAATTGTCAAACATGCATTGCATAACTATTGAAGCTAACCTTCAGGAATGAAGGAATTTAGATATTCTGAGATGAATTGAAACTAAAATAATCAGCTTCTAACAGACTTGCCCTTAAAGAAGGATAAAGTTGTTCAAACAGGAAACTAATCATGGAGCTATCAAGAAAGGATAGAAATTTGGACAAATACAATAGATGATCCTTCTCCTTAATCAAATATATAATATACATCTTTTGTCCATTATGTTTTCATTTTAAACTTCATTTTATTAATAATAAAATTGTTATTTGACTTTACTTCTAGCTCACATATTTGCCTGGCATGTTTTTGAGTTTTTGTTTTGGTCTGTGTTTTTGATTTTTTTGTTTTAGTGCTGGGGATTGAACTTAGGGCCTCACACATGCTAAGCACATGCTCTACCACTTTTTGGCATCACTTTGTTTTTAATTGTTTTTGTTTTTGTTGTTGGTGTTGTTTTTCTTTTCTTTTTTTTCGGAGTGATTGGCTCTAAAGTTGCATTTTGTAAAGAATATATTTTTGTGTCTTGATTTTATTGTTTATTTGTTTTCTTTCAAACTGAAATTCTCTGCCTTTTGATGGGTAGATTTTATCCATTCACATTCATTGTGATAAGTGATAATAACACATCCTATTTCATGTTTTCTGCTAATCAAGATGTCTTTTTATTTCTTGTTTTCCTCTTGTCTGCATTTATATCAAATTATCAATTATTTTCTCTGGGCTCTAACATTATACAATCAATTTTTAGTCCCTGCTGCTTGAACCTAATCTATTAAAGTGTATTCCTGTTTCATCACCCCCTCCATTTATTTCTTAAGTTTGTGGATGTGTACAGTCTCTCTCTCATCAAGATAAGTAATTACCTACTCATTTTCTTATTTCTACTTTTCACCTTCATCCTCAATGGTATCATCTAAAATTATTTACAGTTAGATTACTATGTAGGCAATTGGTGTCACTTTGCCTCACTATCTCTTATTCTCTTATGTTTATTAAGAAGATAATAAATTCCAAAGTAAATTATTTTTAGTCTTCCTTTATGTCTTGAAGCATCTTCCTAGAATTTTCTTTTTGCTGAAATACTTTCCCTGTGGTCTTTTATACTTACAATCCACTTTATTTTGGACTCATTTACATAATATGTAGGTAAAATGTAAAATCCTAGATTCAAAGTTTTATATTTTACAAATTAAAATATTATTACATTTTCTTCATGTAGATTGTGCCTCTTCTGGCAAGCCAGATGTATTTATTGAATCATTATTTGTTGAGAGGCCACAACATGCCAGGCACTGCTTTTGACACTAGGGATCCAATTTTTCAAAAGTTGTGATCTGTTTACAGGTGACTTATATTTTTTTCTCTGGAAAGCTTTAGAATTTATTTTTTATTTATGTTATCAGAGCTCACTATAATGTGTGATGTCTTTTAATAATTTTCTTGTTCAACTCTCAATGAGCATTTTCATATAAAGGTCACTGACTTCTCTTATTTCTCTATAATTCTTGGTTATTGTTTTTAAAAATGTCTTTTTCACTGTTTTTTTCCTTCCATATTTCTAATTATATAAAATTTAGTCAGTCTCCATATTGCTAATATTCTTTCTCCATTTTCAACTTTTTTCTTTTTTTTGGGGGGGTGGTACTGGGGTTTGAATTCAGGGGCACTTAACCACTGAACCACATCCCCACCCCTTTTAAAATTTTTATTTAGGGACAGGGTCTCACTGAATTGTTTAGGACCTCGCTAAATTGCTGAGGCTGGCTTTGAATTTAGGGTCCTCCTGCCTTGACCTCCTGAGCCACTGGGATTATAGGTGTGCACCACTGTGCTCAATCATTTTCAACTTTTCATCCCTTCTTTCTTCTAAGGAAGAATATAGTTCCTTGACCTCATATTCTAGCTTTGTAATTCACTCCAGGAATTTCTCACACTTGCTTCAACACACCAGGAAAGGTGAGTTGTTCGTATATATGATGAATTGTATGTACACATGGGGGAGCAATGAATTATTCCCTATTTAGATAATCTATAGTACTAAAATTTGGGCAATATAACTCTCCATTTATCAGCATATTCCAATTAGGTGACCTTGCACCTTAGAAAACCTCTTTATCTCTACCTCTTTGTTTTAAAAATATTTTCCTTATTTGTAGTTAGATAAAATACCTTTATTTTTATGTGGTGCTGAGGATTGAACCCCAACCTCACATGTGCTAGGCAGGCACTCTACCACTGAGCCATAACCCCAGCCCTCCACCTTTGCAGTAATCATTTGGCTCATTACTCTTTGAGATGGGTCTATTATCTATTGGTATCCACTCCTCTCCCAGCCTATTTTCAAGGATATCCCATGCAATGATAAAAGAATGGGCAAAGTTTACCCAGGGTAATATGGAAAGTAGACAAGAAAAAACAAAACTCACATCTCCCCACCAACACCCTGTGACATCCCTCTACATACACAGATGAACTGTAGTTGTTTGAGAGTTTTTGTTTGTTTGTTTGTTTTTGTGGTGCTGGGATTTAAACTCAGAGCTTCAGATGTGAGACAAATACTCTACCACTAAGCCAATCCCCAGCCCTTCTACTGGGTTTCAAATCAACTTTTCAGTAGTTTCTCAATCCAATAACCTCTCCCTCACTTTTCAGGGTCTCAAAATTTGGTTTTGAGAAAAGAGATAACCACTTATTAAAATATTAATTATTTTTCACTGTAAAATAATATTTCTATGTACCTGATGGCTAAGAATAACACACATTTATTATCTCACAGCTCCTATAGGTGAGGGTCTGGGCATAGCTTATTTGGGTCCTCAGCAGCCAGCTATCAAGGTATCAGATAGGACCAGGTTCTCATGGGTAGACTATAGGGAAGGATCCCTTTTTAAGCACAAAGAGGATGTTGAAAGGTTCAGTTCCTTGCAGGCTGTGGGATGGAGGGTTTTAGATTCTTGCTGGTTGTTGGCTAGAGGCCATTCTCAGTTTCTTGTCATGTGGTCTCCCCAATATCACTAGTTTCTTCATCAAAGTCAGCAAGACGATTCTGCCACCAAGATAAGCATTAGATTCTAATGTTGGCTTTGTTGTATTTTATCAGTAAAAAAGTGAGTCACAGTCCAATTTTGCTCAAAAGGAGGGGTTTGCGGGAATTGGAAATCATTTTGCCCCAAAGTTTCTGAAAGCCACTGAAGGGTTTTAAGCATTAAAGTAACATCATTTTCTTGCTGTAGAATGACCACTAGTCAGAAATTGTAGAGAACAGATTGGTGGGAGAGAAAATATGAGTTCTGGAACCCAGTCAGGAGACTGTGACTGTAATCCTGGTGAATCCATGACAGTCAGAGCTAAAATAATGCTAGTGGGAATAGAGAAATGGAAAAATTGGAGAGTTAAGAAATATATAGGACTTGGTAATAACTAGACAGGGCAAAGGTTTGTATCTGACTCATGCAAATGAGTGAATGGCAGTAACATTATTCACTGAGAAGAGAAGCAGTGTAGACAAGATGAATTTGAGGTAATTTAGTCCCATAACAGAACTGGACTCAGCCACGTTCCCTTGATAATATAACTTTTTAAAAAAAAAATAAATTTAGACCATCTTTTTTATATGTATGTACTTTTAGGGCTTCAAAGAACCCATTGTTCAAATTTATTAAAACTGGTTCAATCTTTTCAATTCATCTCACATAATATAGGAATTTTTAGGAAAGCAAGATAGTCTATGTAAAAAAGAACATTGGAATTGATACTGCCGGTTATGGGTGATGAGTTCTGCTCCATCACATGTTGAAGTTTGAACATTAGAGAAGCATGCCAAGGAAAGCATATAAAGCAGGGTTTATTTTTAAAAATGGGTAACATAAATTCCTCTGGGGAGGGATAAGGGGGCCATAGCTGGTATCCTAGCATCCCAAAGAAGCAAGGTGCTCTGCCCTTTTTATAAGTCCTAGGCTTCCTTTGTTCTTCTGCCCTCTTCCCCTTATCTTTCTCCTTCCTTTGTAGGTAACTAGGCATTTGGCTAGGCCTAGGAATGTTTGATGGATGGCCAAAAGGTGGGAAACAGGTGGATTGAAGGGGGAAGGGCAGGATAGAGCAGCCAAGGACAAATTAATTAACAACCTTATAGTCAGGTTACCTCAGTAACAGGTTGGAGCAGAGGGAGATTCTTGATAAGAGTGGAGAAAGGGCTCCAAAGTAATTAATACTTTAGTCCCTCCAGGGACAGTCTCCAACTTGTGGGACTCACTCAAAATTGGCCTCCTTGATCTGACATAACTCGATTTACCTATCTATACTGACTGACTCTTTAATTCTGGCTTCAGAATGAGTGTGCAACCAGGAACCTTCTGCTCCTAAAACACATCTTTCATATGTTTAAAAGTAAAGAATGAGTTTGGGGAGGACAAAAACAGGGATAAAATTCATTCACTCTAATATACTGTACAACAGAATAATTTTGCATTGAACTCTGCAATCCTAAGCTTTGTGCACATGGGTAGACAAGGCGTGAAAAAGTCCAGCCATTCGGGTCAGCATTTCTGGAGCTGCCTCCCTCCCTTGGCGGGAGATCAGACACAGAAGACGCTGCCCTATATTCTAGCAACAGAGAAGAAACTAGTTGTGCTCCATATCCTCCCAGCCCAGCCACGCATGCTCCCTCCCACCTGCAAAGCAAAGGGCCTGACGGCGCGCAAGGGCTTCTGGGAATCGTAGTTCAGGGTGGGAGGGGCTGGACGGCGTTGCCCCGGCTTCTTACGCATGCGCGACTCCGAGCTGGCCAGAGAAGTTCCTAGCCTTTGTCAGGCCCGGGATGGGAGGTGAGTTGGTTTTACCTCTACCCCCACTCCGCGTTTGGATTGGGCGGTGGCCCCAGGGTGTCGTTCTGTGCCCAATCGGGACTGGAGTGCTCCTTTGCGAAAGGAGTCTGGAAGGCAGACCTTGAGCCCCATCCCCTCACGCTCTACCCTGAATCCTAGCCCCCGGACCCGGGTGCTAGCGCGGTGCCCGTCGGTGCGCGACCGGCGGGCAGCGCGGAGCTGAGCGGAGCACGCGGGGCTGTCGTGGGTCCTGGGCGCCAAGGATTTGTCTATGCTGCTGTGCCTTGGCGGCAGCTCCAGCGCCATCTCTTCGGACGCTCTGTCCCCCCAGGGATCGCTCCCAGCGCAGGGACAGGTATTTAAGGACCCACTCTCAGGGATGCTGTCCTCGGGTTTCCAGGCTCCCGCTCTGTAGGACGGAGGCAGGCTCCACCGTGAGAGACAGAGAGAGAGAGCGACCTGATTCTGACTGAGACATTTCCGCAGAGCCCCCAGAGGAAAGACAGGAAGGAACACCCGAGGCTCCCGGGACTTCTGACTGCTCTGTCCACTGAGGTGTGCCTTGGGTGAAAAGCAGAAATCTTCAGGACATGGAGGAGGTGGTGATCATGGAGACAGATTTGGCCGAAATGCCTGAGAAAAAAGGTAGAATTGCTCAAGTGTTGCACTTCTGTGGTGGAAGGGTGGAGTCCTTGCTCCTGGAGGGAAAAGGGTTGTCTCGGAATAGGTGGCCATTGGCAGAGAGGACTGTCTGTCTCCATTGTCTTGGTGGATGGGTGGGCTATTTGAGTGTAGAGAGTTTGGTACAGGAGCATCCCCTGTCCTTTCCATTGCAACCTGGTGCACAATGGACCCTTCCAAGCAGCCCCCCAAATAAGAGTGGAAATGTTAATCTGAAATGTGAGCACAGCTACAACCACTCCTCTCACTTGCTCTTCCTTTCAAATGATTATTCCATTCTAGTCCCCATCAGTGGATCTGAGAAATCAGCTTTGTGGTTGCAAAAATTTCTCCACACCCATTATTTCACTGTATCTTTATAGTTACCTATGATTTAAATTCAGTGCAGGTTTGATTTTTTTGTTTGTTTTGGTGATGGTGGTGTTTAACATGCAAAACAGACTAGAAGGCAAGGGTTGACTTTCAGTACTACTAGACCAGTGTTTCTTGAAGTTTGTTCTGTGACCTAGCATCAGAATTCCCCCTAAACTTCCTATCTGTGCTTGTTAGGTTTTTGGATTGCACTCCATATTCAATCAGCGACAGTTACTCTGAAGTGAAGTCCAGCAATCTACATTTAAAATAAGCTTTTAGAGTAATTTTTGAGAACCATTGATATGATGGTTCTATGAACTATGATACTAATTTTGTGTAGATTGAACTGGGAAATTCACTGAATTTTTCTAATTTCTAGATCAGAGAGGACCACCTTCCAGAATGTGATATGATTATAGCAATGCATTTAAGTCTGGTATAGCAACATTCCTGGGCATTTTCCATAATTCTGGGAGGTAATAGGTTGTTTGGGGGTGGGGGTCCTTTCAGTCTCAGTGTTAATAAGGGGCACATTTAGTGTGATGGAGGGATTTTTAGACTTGTAGTCTTATAAGTCTAAGTAGCATCTTGAGCCCTATCATGACTGCTTTCTTGCCCTTAGCCATGTCTTCCCAGGACTCCCCCCTCTGCCAAGAGAAGAACACAGATGAGGAAGAAGTGGCAGCTATGTGCCTCACAGCCAGATCACAGGTGAGTGTGAGTCTACTGGTGATAGAAGTCCCACCTTATTTCTCAGAGTACAGGTGTGCTCCCTTCTTTTTGATAAAAGTTTCTTTTTTTACTAGAGCCCATCTAGAGAGCTGAGTTCTAATTCTGAGAGATTAATGAATTTGGTAGGAAATATTTTCTACTTTTCCATAGTACCTCAATTCTCCACCTAGTTTTTATTGTTCCTCTACAGGCAGGTAAGCAACATTTCCCTTCTTTGGCCTACTATGCTAATTTCTGTGCTTGGTAATGTGGGAAACTATTTTAAACATAATGTGATGAATGCTCCTTAAAACTTACATTTCTCTCTTGAGGAAAGAATGCATATTACTATATGTAGGAGTTTAAGAAAAACACCTTAAATTATGAAGTGATTAGAAGGCAATTAATACTCAAATAGTTCAAATGAGTGCTATAAAAGAGAAGCTTAGGAAGGGATAAAATTACCGTTAGAATCCAGCCCAGCCCTCCAAAGGGGCGAATGCTGGAGTATTATTTCTGCAACTTACTTTTATATCATTGCCACCCCTTCCCTGTGCAAGAGCAGCTATGGCAAATGTTAGAAATTTTTGAATTCATGTGGTGATTGTACAGTGGATAATTATTATGTTTTTCTTTAACTTTCATATGTTTTCAGCCCTTTTTGTTTAGAGACAGGGTCTCGCTAAGTTGCTCAGGGTCTTGCTAAGTTGCTGAGGCTGGCTTTGAACTTGCTATCCTCATGCCTCAGCCTTCCAAGTTGCTGAGATTGTGGGCTTGCACCATAGCACCTGGCTTTTATTTCTTAGATCTCAGATTATTTCCATTTTGTAAATTTTATACTTTGGAAAAACTGTTAACATAAGAAATGTTGCAAAGAATATAGAGATATCTTGTCCAGATTCTCTAGAAGTTAACATTTTTACTTTGCATTATTTCTTTTTCTAGAGTTAGGACATTAACAATGGTATAATACCATACCTGCTGACCTTCAGATTTTCCATCTGTTTCATTTTTCTGTTCTCAGAATTTCTACTTTTATCCTATAGTTCTTTTCATGTTCCTTAATTTGTTATTATTATTAACTTGCTTTGTATGCTTCTTTCATTTAATTACATAATTTTTAAATGAAATAAAAGTGTTTAAAGCTGTGAAATTTCCTCTAAGTACAGTTTTAGCCATTTGGCATTGGGGTCTACATTATTTCATTATTATTTTTATATTCTGATGTTTTTTTATTATCATCTGTCATTTTTCTATTCTGTTTGGGAATTTATTGAAATTAATTTTGTTAGTTTTTGCAAATGCTTCATGAATGTTTAAAAAGAAGGCATTTTCTGTACCATAACAGAAACTATAGAATATTATTTTCCAAGGCTTGTTTATATATGTTTGTTCCCGTAGCCTTGGACTGTTATTCCCATTCTCTATGACTTTACTTAAAAGGCATGTTCAATACTGGTATGTTTCTACCTCCTTATAATTTTTGTATCTTTTTTCTTATAGAAACAAAATATGAATGGTATTTTACACATAAACCTCTATGTGTTAAATCTTAATTAGTTTCCAATTTAATTCCTTATTTATTTTTTATTTTTTATTTAATTTAATACCTTTTACCTTGAATTGATTACGTTTAATGGGGTTTGGTGCTCACTGCCAGTGTTTTTGTTGCATATCTTCTGTTCAAATTCTGCATTGCGATTCATCTTCTGAAAATTGATTCCTCAGGTGTTTATTAAAGACTCACAGTGGAATTATGTAGACCTGTTTTCTTTTTTCCTCTACCTATATTTTGTTTACTTTGCCAAACAAAATTGTTAACTCATTGTAATATTTTACTCCCCAGAAAAAATGGAATCTCAAAGGAAAAACCATGATCTTACTTCATTTGATTCTTATGTTGAGATCTGCACAGTGTGCCTGGCACACATTTGATATTCAGTGACTTTACATAGAATATTCAGATTCTAAATACTGTTAGAATACTTGTCACTTCCCTTCTTGAATGTTATCTCAGGCCTTTGCTTCAGTTCCAGCTGAACATTGGTGTGTGTGTGTGTGTGTGTGTGTGTGTGTGTGAGAGAGAGAGAGGGTGGGGGGGGAGAAAAGCAGGATAGCAAATGAAAGATGGTAAACACAAGTATGTTTTGTTTCTTAGGAGAAAGTGACATTCAAGGATGTGGCCATGGACTTCACTCCAGAGGAGTGGGGGAAGCTGGATCCTAAACAAAGGGATATGATGCTGGAGAACTATAGGAACCTGGTCTCACTTTGTAAGAATCTTCCTGACTCTGAAATCTGCTTATGTGGATATTATTACTTCATTGAAAATGAAGTAGCTCCATTTTTGCCCTCATTTTCGAATTCAGAAGTCATAGAGTATCAGTTCTTTGGGGATTAGAGAAAAATCATGCATTCTACAACTGAACTATAACTCCAAATGAGAAAAATCTATTTCTGTTCCAGGATTTTGGTGAAATATCTATGCCTGTTGTGTATCAGGACTCAAGTGACAGACAGCCTAATTCAAACCAGCTTTAAGTGGGAGAAATCTTGATTCAGAATCAAATATATCATCAGGAATTTTATTTATTTATTTATTTTTAATCTGTTGACCTGACTTTTCCCTATATTAGCTTTATTCTTAGGATCTTTCTATATAGCAGAGATGGCCACTGGCAGTTAGAGAACTGAGCCAAAAAGAGAAAATGTACATGTTTGTGTGAGAGGTAAAAAGGACTAGTAGCCCTTCCCAAACCTCATAGAACAAATTATCAGTGAAAGTATCTTCTAATAACTGAAAAAGGAGGAAAAGAAAAACATTAGTAGACAAAAACTCCAGTGACCACAGTCAAAATTTTGTGGTGCCACTGAGGTCCTACTTTTTCCCCCATCTTATTTTCTAAGGTAAGAACTAATCTGCAAGATTGCTCTAAAATTTATTTATTTTTTTATTTGTTCTTTTTGATTATACATGACAGTAAATATTTTGGCAGATTATACATATATAAAGTAAAATTCCTTCATACAATAAGTAAATAAAGAGACAAACCCAGTTTCACTCTCTACCAGACCTAAACTCATACTGCATATATTTCTAACTCCATTTAGAGACCCACCCTCCCTTATTCTGGATCTTCTTATAACATTTTGTCTTTGTAGATTATGGGGTTAGGATTATATTGCAGTATAAATCTTTATGCCTATCACAAATAGTTAAGTTCCATTTCTCCATTTATTTTTCCTTTTTTTTTTCTTTCCTCTCTTTTAATTAATAGGGCTTCCAGTTTCCAAACCTGAGAATTACAATTTGGACAGTGGAAAAGAACCATTAAAGCTTGAGAGAAAAACTCCCAAATGCAGCTATTCAGGTGAGTCACATAGATGGAAATCTTCAGAAATATACAGCAAAATAGTAAATAAGTGGCACTTTTTAATGCTTAAGGAAGAATATTAGAAGTCTCTATTTGCCTTTTTTTAAGTATTTTATTTTAAATTCTAAAGCATCTTAAGTACACACAGAAGTCCAGAAAATAAAATAACATGTATTCATCACCAATATTAAATATATATGCTAATATTTTACTTCATTTACCTCTTTTTTTTCTTTTTGGTAATATAAAATACATAAAGTATCAATGCTATAAATGCTATGATTTTGACAAACCAAGATGCATTCATGTAACTACTGCCTATATCAAGAAAACAACATTACCAGTATCTCTAAAGCACCCCTGTGCCCTCGTTTAGTCACCTCCTTCCTCCCAGGGGTAACCTTATCCTAACTTAGAGTGTCATTGGTTAGTTTTGATGGTTCTTCTTATATCAGTGGACTCTTATTGTACATATTCTTGTGTCTGACTTCCTTCACTGAACCGTTAACTTTGAGATAAATCCATGTTGTGGCCTATTATAGTTCATTCATTCTCATTATCATTTAGTCTTTCATTATGTCGGTATCCAATTTATTTATTTGTTTATTATCTTAAAGATGGGCATTTTGATAGCTTCCACTTTTGGGTTATGTGAATAGTGCTGTAATGTTCATTCTTTCACATGTCTTTTTATAAACAGATACAAGCATTTCTGTTGGATATATACATATAGGTAAAATTATTGAGTCATAGATTAGGTTCATGTTCATTTTTTATACATATTGCCAAAGTTTACAAAGTTAACATACCCATTATATTCCTACCAGAAGGTGTGAGTTCTTGTTGCTCCACATACTTACCAACACATAATACTATTTGTCTTCATTTTAGCTATTTTTTTTTTTTTTTGATACTAGGGATTGGACCAAGGGATGTTGTCTTCATTTTCGCTATTCTTTTTTTTTTTTTTGATACTAGGGATTGGACCAAGGGATGCTTAACCACTGAGCCACATCCCCAATCCATATTTAGAGACAGGATCTCACTGAGTTGCTAAGTGGCTCATTAAGTTGCTGAGGCTGGCTTTGAACTCAAGATCCTCCTATCTCAGCCTTCCAAGCTGCTGGGATTACAGACATGTGCCACCACACTTGACTCATTTTAGCCATTCTTGAATGTGTGTAATATCTTTTATTTTTTAAGAAGTAAAACATATTAGAGATTCAGTTACAGTCCTTTCATTCTTTCTTTCTGTAGAATCAGTATATCTCAAAGTTGGTATGAATCATTCCAGAGTTTACATGTGTATATATATGTATACACTATATTTTATTGCTTAACCTATTTTAATGAATTGTGTTTGTTTATTTTAACTAATATGGAGTATGTCCATAGTGTGAATAAAGTGAACAGTTCAATTTTACTTTTTTTGCCATTAGTAACAGTTGCAGTCTTGTGTTTATTGATACATGTTCATCTTAAGGGTTGGGGTTAATGTAAATAACTGGAAAAACAATTACATGTTAGTTTTACTAGGAATTGTCTGGTTCCACACCCACCCTAGCCTTCTGGTTGATGTTATCAGACTTAATTTTTGACAGTCTGGTGGGGTCCAAAATGCTATTTTGTGTTTTTAAATTTTCATTTCTCTGAGTTGGAGCACTTTTTGCTTATTGGGTATCCGGGTTTTTTCTTTTGTGAATTGCCTATTAATATCCTTTGTTTATTTTTTTAAAAATTGGACTGTTCAACATCTTTCCTTTTGAGTTATTTATTTTAGACTCTAATTCATGGCAGCAGAGGGAAAAATGGTTCTTCCAGTCTTGGATGTTTTATTTTATTAAGCATATTGAATTTTTAAATTTTAAGGACAGATTTATTGATTTTTTTTAATACTTAAGTTTTTGGAAATTGCCTTCCTTAATCCAATGTTAGAAAGATAATCTTTTTTGTTCTAAAAAGTTCAAATTTTGTTTACAGATTTTTATTTTAGTATATGGTATGAAATGGGGAGCTAATTTTATCTTTTTCCAAGCTTATAGTTCATAATCTAAGATAATTTATTGAATTATCTTTTATCAGAGATTTGAAATGATGTTATTTCCCTGTATACTTGCTTTTGTATCTGGATTTATTTCTGAGCTCTCTGGGTTACTCATCTATCTATGCTCCAACACTGTACCATTAAAAAATAATATAAAAAATATTTTTAAAAAGATGATTTAGGAAGGATTTTTCCTAAAGAAAAAAAGTATATGTATACATATGCCTCATAAAGAAAATTCCCCAGAATACACATATAAACATGTTGTATCTCATAAAATCCTTCCTGAATATTCTTTTTTAAAACTGTGTTCTTTTGAATAGTGGAGTTTTAAAAATCTTTCTCTGTGATTATGGATACATGTCTGTTTATCCTTGTAAGCCTTTCTATCTTTGTGACATGTCTACTTACCACTTCTTTTCTGGGGAGAAATATTGCTCTTAATGATCTTTGAGAATGCTTCATATATTCACCCTTTGATTAGTTGCACACATTTTTCCTTTCAGTTTTGCAATACTTTTTGATGAACAAATTTAATATTCTATATTTTTAATTTTCTGCCTTTTGAGTATTCCTTTTAAAGTCTTTTCTCATCCCATGACTACATAAATATTTGCCTGTGTTCTCTAGTATGTTTGTTCTTTAAATCCTTAATTCACTTGGAATCATTTCTTGGCTTTTTTGGTGTGTCTTTGCCGCAGTCCGGCTGCAGCAAAATAACCAGGGGGTGACGAGGAACTTGTGTACATTGATACAGCAGGAGTGGGAGCCGTTTATTGTTGCACAGGAGGGATATATATACATACCACACAGCTTATCTTAATTAACATAAACTAGATACAGCAGTCAACCAATGAGGAATCTCCACACTTAATGGCTCGCTGGCGTTACTTCACAAACCACTCCCTCTGCAAAATGCCAGGCGCCATCTTGACTTGTTTATAGACTCTAACATGTCTTCTTAGTTTTCTTTTTCTTTTCTTTTTTTTTTTTTTAACAATTTAATGTTTGGATTGCTCAAGATTTTATTTTAATCTCCCTTTCATTTTGTATTCCTGGAGTCATAAATTTGAGTGCTTAACATGGGCCAGGAGATTATATAAGCAAAGGAAGCAAGGTCAGAATGGTAAATTAGAGGAACACGTGCCTCAACTGAAAGAAGTGGCCATTACTCCATTAGCTCTAATTCAAGGACTGGCAAGCTTTTTATGTAAAAATTTAGGTCATAAATGATTAGGCCTTATGGGACAGACAGATGGTGTCTCTGTATCCACTCAGTTTGACATATGGTGCAAAAACAGCCTTATGTAAATGAATGGATATGACTAGGTTCCAGTACAAATTTATTAATAAAAATAAGCAGCAAACTATAGCTGTCAGCCCTTGTTTGAACTGGTTGTTGTCCTTCAGTATGCTTTCATTTTTTTTTCCCCCAGAGAAACCTAAAATTTGGTTCTATGTGACATACCCTTATTTTTTAGATGTTAGCAAATGATTTTTAAAAATTGTATAAACGGTGAAGGCCAAACAYAATATGCCTGAGGTCAGATTTGGCTGACGGGTCATCAGTTTGCAGCTTCTACTTTCGCTTAGGTCTTCTGATCACTCTTTATCACCAATTGTCATCTATTCAGATAATTCCCACATTTGTATTTCTGTCCTCGATCTCTTTTCAGAACTTGTGTTCTGAACATCTGTGTGACTACTTCATGTCTCTGTTTACTTATGTCAAAGATTCCTCAATTCACAGTGTTCAAAACTGGATGTCTGAAATATGCCCAAATTCCTCTTTCTCAACAGGATCCTTTTCCAAGAATTGTCTTAATGATACTTATTGTCTACCAAATCATACATGCCAGAAATCTATGAAGTCTTTATATTTCCTTCTCCTTCCCTTATCCACTTTACCATTATACTTACCTAATTATATGCTAAATATTTCTTCACTGTTAATATCCTTCCATTTTATTTTTGTTTGCCTAAATTACTATGACAATCTCCCTGATTCCACCTTTACCCCCATGTACTTCATTCTGTATCACAGTGAGAGAGTTTTCAAAATCAAATGGATCATGCCATCCCTTTGCTTAGAACATTTCAATAACTTCTTGTTTGATATTTACTTGTAAAGATTATATTAAATTCTTTCTCCTTCTATCTGCATAAGGACTAAGTGTATTTTTCCCCAGAGTCTAGCATGTAGTAGATACTCAGTAGTTATTTGTTGGATAAAATGGATAGACAGATGAGTAAATAAATGAATAAGTAGAATGTATTTGGGTATATGGAATAAGAAATCTAACTTAATTTTCTTCTAAGTTGTCATGGTACCTTTTGTTGAAAAAGAAATATTGTTTACTGACTGAAATATCACCTTTCTATTATCCTTAATTGTTCCATATACTGTAAGAATACAGTTTATTTCTGATCTTGCTCTTCTATTTCACTGATCTGTTTATTCTTTTGAATCACTGTTTAAATTATTCCGTCATTTTAAAATGATTTACATTGGGTATAACAATTCCAATATATTTATTTTAGGTAAATATTTAGAAAGGTTCAGTACCTATATCTACCCTCTTTCCTCTGTTCTGATATTTCCCCTATAGATAACATTTTTATTAGTTTTTTTATTTATCTTTCCTTGGTTTTGTTTTGTTTCTTCTTTCCACATTTTTTATTGGTGCATTATAGTTTACATAATGATGAGATTTGCTGTTACATATTCATATATGCACACAATGTAACATTATAATTTGGCCAGTGTTTCTCCCCAGCTTTGTAATTTTTATAAGCTGGTTAATACTAAATTTTCCTTACTATAAGTTACAGTGATATCTATTATCAGCCATTTCTTTTTCTTCTTTGTCGTCTTTTTTTCCCCCTGTTTTGAACATACAATTTATTTGTTTATTTGTAATATATGTATTTTTAAAAAATTTTAGGTGGACACAGTATCTTTATTTTACATTTATGTGGTGCTGAGGATTGAACCCAGTGCCTATGCATGCTAGGTGAGCACTCTACCACTGAGCTACAATGCCGGCTGCTTGAACATACAGTTTAATATTCTTAAATACTTCTGATGAGTGAATATCCTCAACTCACTTCTTACAGAAATTCTGACTTGGTTAAACAATGTATACCTAAATTGTGAGAAAAGTTTCTCCAGAATCAGATAATCCTTGAAATTCTGGGTCTGTCACTCATTAGATTTGTATTCCATCCAATCTTTCCTTGGTTTTTGAAAATACAACCAAATAATATACTTATATCTCTTTCTCCTTTTCCTGACACAAAAAGTAACAGCAAACTATACAACATTCTTTTACAACTTGCTTTTTTTAAAAAAATACTTAATATATGTTGGAGATCACATAGCAATATGATAAAAATCTTTCTCATTTTTTAAAAGTTGCATAGTACTCATTGTATAAGCTGTAGTTTATTCAGTCATTTCTCTGTATTAGGTATTGGAACTGTTAACAGTCTTTTGCAGCCTTAATAAGTGTTGTAGTGAATAGCCTTGTTCATCTGTCACCTCATATCATATATTTGGATTTTTTGATGAGAAACTTTATAAAAGCATTGTTGGGAATATTAAAATGGTAATAGTACTGAACATAAGTAGAATTAAAAGACCAGAAACCTAGAAATTCTAACTGTTTACTAAGATGATAACTACCAATATTTATTACAGCAATAGGAATTCTATATCTAAAAAAAACTGGAAAGCACTTTTTACTGATCCTGTTCTGGTCCAAGTGTAATCATTGCCTGCTCATCCACTGATGTATTGCTTCATCTGCATCTCCCCTCCTACCTTTCTTGTCATCTTTCCTACCTTCCGATTCTCCTGGATAGGGTATACTTGTTTTCTCTGCATACACTGAGCATTTGTTTCCCTCTATTTGCTTCTCTTTTGTAAATCACCCCCCAAAATTCAAATCTATTCACTCCTTAAATGTGTGCTTTTCACCTTCATTAACTCTTAACCTATTACAGAACTGCTATTTTTTTGAGCACAGAAAATGAAGGAAATTTGCATTTCCAATGTCTTTCAGATGTGGAGACTTTACCTGAGAGCAAAGATTCATCTTCAGTTCAAGATTTTTCCAAAGATGAATCACACCCAATTGCAATAATAGACAGACTGGCAAGAAATAGTGTCTATGACTCCAACTTGGAAACAGCTCTTGAATGTGAAAACTGGTTAGAAAATCAGCAAGAAAACCAGGAGAAACACTTGAGAGAAATGTTTACCCACATGAATTCACTTCCTGAAGACGAAGATCGTGAGCGTGATATATATTGGAAAACCTTTGGTCAGAAGTCTGTTCTTATCACTCAAGACAGAGTTCCCAAAGGATCTTATGCCTTTCACTCACTTGGGAAAAGATTGAAACAGAAATCAAATTTAATGAAAAAACAGAGAACCTATAAAGAGAAAAAACCTCATAAATGTAATGACTGTGGTGAACTTTTCACTTACCATTCAGTGCTTATTCGACACCAGAGAGTTCATACTGGAGAGAAACCCTATACTTGTAATGATTGTGGGAAATCTTTTAGCCACAGAGCTAATTTAACTAAACACCAGAGAACTCATACTAGAATTCTCTTTGCGTGTAGTGAATGCAAGAAAACCTTCACGGAAAGCTCATCCCTTGCAATACACCAGAGAATTCACATCGGAGAGAGACCTTATGAATGCAGTGAATGTGGGAAAGGTTTTAACCGAAGTACACATCTTGTGCAGCATCAGTTGATTCATACTGGAGTGAAACCTTATGAATGTAATGAATGTGATAAAGCTTTTATTCATTCATCAGCACTCATTAAACATCAAAGAACTCACACTGGAGAGAAGCCCTATAGATGCCTAGAATGTGGCAAAGCCTTTAGCCATTGTTCATCCCTTACTAAGCATCAGAGAGTTCATACGGGAGAGAAGCCATATGAGTGTAGTGAATGTGGGAAAACTTTTAGTCAGAGCACACACCTTGTTCAGCATCAGAGAATTCATACTGGAGAAAAACCCTATGAGTGTCAAGAATGTGGGAAGACCTTTAGCCGGAGCTCAAATTTTGCTAAACATCAAAGAATTCATATTGGAAAGAAACCCTATAAATGTAGTGAATGTGGAAAAGCCTTCATTCATTCATCAGCTCTTATTCAACACCAAAGAACTCACACGGGAGAGAAACCCTTTAGATGTAATGAATGTGGGAAAAGCTTTAAGTGTAGTTCATCCCGCTTCAGACATCAAAGAACTCACATAGAAGAGAAACCCTGAAAAATTACTGAATGGGAAGAAATGTAAGTACATTTTATTGCTGTGTTAATATCTGAGTGTTTAGGTGGACCCATAATGTGCAAAGGCCAATGCTATGTGCATCTAGTTTCACTTGCCTAATATATAATTTCACCCATAGATTCAGTTCCCCCTTTTCATGGTCATATGCCAGAGGCTTGTTGTACCCTCTCACTTTGAAAGAAAATTTTTATTTTGTAACTTAGGCTGAAATTTCATATCCTCGTCAGAAAGATGAGATATTTTGTAACTTAGGCTGAAATTTCATATCCCCGTCAGAAAGATGAGTTTACTCTGAATCCAAAGTAGACTCCTACATGTACATATATATTCTTTCTCCAGGGTACCATTTCTTTTATTTTAGCCATAGAAATTATGAAGGCCAAGAGTAGGAAGTTACTTAGGATTTACTTCCTCCCCCTTGAAGGCTGCTGTCTAATTTGCTGAACATAACTAAAATATATTTATAGCAAGTTCTAATTACATTTATGTGGATTATGTTGTTCATAGATTTAAATACTTGTTTTCCTTCGTTTGAGAGATTTTCCTGCATTTCCAATTCCTTGAGAGTTACCCTGAAGTAGAGAGTGGGTCAGAATCTTAACTGTCATTGTTAATCAAGTCTATCTTTTTCTTAACCTTGTCATTGATTGAATCCTTGGTTTTCTGTAGTCAAAGTAGGGAAGGCTTCATTTCTGTATATTATTTAGCTTTCTGCAAATTGGGTTTTGTCACCTTTAGAAAAAGCCGTAGGATGTTGAGAATCTGAAAAGTTGATAAATTCAATGTGTTATTTTTATTTAGGATTCCAGTCAAGAAGAGAATTGAAGCAACTGTGAGGCCCCAGGGCATAATTTCCTGTTCGGTATGCAAAAAGCTTATGAAACGGCCCTCAAGTGAGTCAATTGAGGATTAACAGCTGCTCTTCATGAAGAAGTTACTACTTTTTTTTTTTCTGACCTGTACACTTACCCATATTCTTGGTATTGTTCTTATTCGCTGTATGTCAGTTGATCTTTGTCCCAGAGCCCTTACTTAAGAAAGTGGGCAAGGCACAAAATCAGAGAGGCATATTAGCATAAGTTACATGGGTGACCAAAGACCAGTGGCAAGATTGGAAACAAAAGCAGTAGTACAAATTAATATCTAGTAAAACACTATACATGTGTCAATTTTTGTTGTTACCCTATTTATATGTTATATGAAAACTATAGGGGGGAAAAAACATAATCACAGATTTCCTTCTTCTCTTCCAAATCTTTACCTTCCATTCCATATGTTTGCCCCCTCCACATTATTCTTCTCAGTAGGAATCATAAATTTTATGATTGAAGAAAATTAGGGGGTAGGGTGTAAAGAATTGATGATAATGGGGATCACGCTCATGAAGGCTGAATGGAGTATAAATCCAGCAGTGAGGGTGAAAGACCTCTTCAGGAAGAGATAATAGAAACATGGAAGGGAGCCAAAGTGGAAAGGCTTAAGAGTTCAGAGGTCAGGGTGGGAAAATAGCTTACTTAACAAAATATAGGAAAAGTAGCTCAAGTCTTTCATCACCTTAATCAGTATGTTTAGAGCAGGAAGTGGCAAGCTATGGTGTGGACTCTGGACCATGTCTGACCCATTGCGTTTTTGTAAATTTTGTTGGGACTCAGCCATATTCGTCAGTTACATGCTATCTTTGGCTGCTTTTCTGTGCAACAGAGTTTGTGTCTTGGGGGCTGCTACAATCCAAGTCCACATACTGGATAGCTTATAAACAGAAATTTCTCAATAATTTTGGAGACTGAGAATTCCAAGGCACCAGAGGATTTCAGTTTGGTGATGTGCTACTTCCTGGTTCACAGAGGGCTCCTTCTCTGTGTCCTTAGCCCCTTAAAAGTGTACTGATTCCCTTCAAGAAAACTCCACTGTGATGGCTTACTCACCTTCCAAAAGCCCTACTTTGTAATAACATGACATGGGTGATTAGGTTTCAGTGTGAAAATTTTGGAGGGGCACATTCAGTCCTTAGCAGATTATATGTTCCCCCAAGCCCCCAAAATTTACTATTAGGCTCATTATAGAAAATGTTAACTGGCCCCTGCACTAGAGAATCCATGTCAAGAGGTGGGATAGAGGGATTAAACCCAGAGAAATTAGGTAGAATGGAAAGTTATAATGATGGTGAACATATCCTTCCTTAGGGACTAGCCATTGTGGTTACCCTCCTAAGCTAGACTAGAAAGCAGAACAAGACGATAAATACCCCCAGAGGGATGGCTCAGGAACTCCATAGTCCTATCACTATTTTTAATGTTACAGAATATTGGGAGAGAGAAAAAAAATGGGGTGGGGAAAATATGAGAGATTGGAAATGATGCATGAAGACACTCCTAACCATTAGGTTGCAACTATACATTGTAGAGGGAGTTGCAGTTATTTAAGCTTTTTTAGTATGCCAAGAGCTTGAGTGAAAATAAATTCATTTTGGAGACCAAAATTTGACTAATGAAAGAAGACCAACATGGGCTTTTCAAAGTTGAGTATGATTTCTGCCACTCCCAGGTAGTAATTATGTGACCTTGAAAAAACTACTAAATCTGGGTTTCGGTTTCTTTATCTATAAAGTGGGAATAAGTCATCCCTTCCTCACAAAATTGTCATGAAGTTTAAATGAAAATGCATATGGAGGATTTAGCACATCATCACTGTAGACAGCCCCTCATTCCTGCCCCCTCCCACCTGCCTGCTCATGAATACTCTGAGGTCGCATGCTGTGTTTCTCTCTATAATGTTTATATTTTTAAATTGTATTCTCATCAAGTGACTAAGCATCAATCAGTAGAAGTTACTTTAGTATCTACCCACTTTTTGTTTACCAATAAAGAACTGTGACTCTCCTGTTCTCTGACTTATCTTAAAGATGGAGCTTTCAATTTTTGCTTTTGCTTCCATTGGTGCTGTTCCTTGCAGTTTCTTTGAGACCTTGTGGAACCTGCCGCTTTTCCTTCTGAATATCACTTAAGCAGGAGCTATCTGATAGTTCCAGAGACTCAAGTTTACAACCTAATTGCACTTTAACTAGTGTTAAGGGATTTGCTCTTTTACTGGGAACTCTGGCCCTTTGCATTTTGTATTTGTCCTTTCTATGCCTAATGTTCAATCTAATTACATGTTTATATTCCACATAAATCTTGGAAGTTTTAATGATCTGCATTTTAAATGTTTTGGTTACCTATAAATGATATTATCTGTTCTATTGTCAATAAAGATGTTGTTTGTACATGTATTGTCAGAGACTTTGTAAATTGCTTTTAAACTGTCCTAATTTAAGCACATTTTAAGATGAAAAGAAAAACCAACTGTAAAATATCTCCGTGTCACTCAGGAAAACAATCACACTTCTGTTTATCTGGGCTTTATAACTTTTGGAGACATGTGATTGGGAATGAATGCCCTTGACAGCCCAAATGTCTCCAAGAAGATTACAGAGTAGAGGAAGATAGTTTCTACCAAATAGTGCTGATTCCTTAGGCCAGGTATAGCACCATTCACATAGCAGAGGTAAAGGGGGTAAAGGACAAGAAAGAGGTTTCATATCAAACACACAGTTGGGCTGGGGTTTTGGCTCAGTGGTAGAGCACTTGTTAAGGCCTCTGTTTTAATCTCAGCACGTCCACAAATAAAATAAAATAAAGAAGAACAGTTTAAACTAGGTAAAATATGATTAGAAATGTTTGGATACAAATATCAAACATCATTCCATCCATAGGTAATTAACTAGTTATTTTAAGTCATAGTTTTCAGTTTTCTTGAGAGTAGTCTTACTTTAAAAAAAAAAAATCCTGGAACAGACCTGTTTTTTCTTTACCCTTATTTTGTTTATCCTTTCTTTACCCTAGTTCTTCTTTTAAGGCCACAACTAGGCTATCTTAGAGCCAAGAACCACATGAGCTGTCCCTCACCATAAGTTATTAATGAGGAAGAATGATATCCCCCTCTGGTAATACATGTATGACATTTATGGGTTTCTCTGAAGTTCAATTAATGCTTTGCAAAACTTAGATATTTTCACAGAAGTGTTCTTTATATTTTTAATCTCTGTTCATTAATAATCTTTCCTTAGTCATGAGTTTTTGATAGCTCTGTTTATCTGCTAAATTGCTTATTTATACTAGAGAGATCTTTAYTGTGTACATTCCAGTTAGTTACTTTGGTTAGCAAATTTGTGATGAATATGAGTGGTCAAAAGACCATGGGAAAAACAGTAGCAACCTACCTGTAGAAAAGATGTAACCTAGCAAGCCTGAGACAGCTGTTTAGAAAGGCCTGCTCATCAGGTTGACCATTGGCTGGCATCTGGGAACTTTGACTTTGGGATAGTTCCCACTATTCCCAGCACTGATAAGAATAACTGACGGTTCCAAAATTCTGTATTTAAACAATGTGACTTATGCCACATTTAAAAAGGTAAGGATGATATGTAGAGAGTAAGCCTCCTGTCTTACAGAGAGCTGTAATGGCGATGGTGTTTCCTGGCCCTCACTAGGGGAACATGAACCGTTTTAGAGAATTGAGTGGAAGTAGAACCCTCTGGCTTCCTCCTTTCTTCCTTCCAGCATGACAAAAGCAATATCTGAGATGGTGGCTGTTTCATCAGCTTGGGTTCTTGAGTGATTATAATGAGGAGAAGATTCCTGCCATCACAATAACAGGTCACACAGGTAAGCATCAAGAATGGGTGTCCTAGTAAGAAGGCCAAAATGTCTGGCAGTGGTTTCTAACTTCAGAGCTGGTTAAGTGGTAGGGTAAGTCTAGGAGATACTTCTCTGATCACACACTGGCTTTTGGGGGTGGGAGTATTATATCCTACTTCCCCTCTCTCTTGTATATTTCTTCTTGTATTCCCATGTCAGGATATCAGGAAGTATATATGGTCAAATAAACTTTTCCTCTTCCAATAGTGTTCTTGTCAGATTTTTTTGGTCTCAGCGGCAAAAAAGCTGACTATAACAGATACTCAACTTGTATTAAAAACAAAAGGACTGCATTCTTCAAAAATGTTAATGTCAAAGCTAGGCACAGCATGGTGGAAGGGTGCAGCAGAGCAAAGCTGCTCACCTCTTGGCAGCTGGGCAAAAGAGAAAGAACTGGGAGTAAGACACACTCTTCCAGGACCTACCCAAGGGGACTTCCTGCAACTATGCCCTACCTCCTCTAGTTTCCACCACCTCCCATTAGTCTCCAGCTGTCAGTGGATTAATCCACTGATGAGATCAAAATCTTTATGATCCAATCACTTTCCCAAAGGCCTCACTTCTGCATTAGGGTCCAAACCTTTGAAACATGAGCCTTTGGGAGACCTTCCAGATTCAATATGACAATTATTATGACAATAATTGATTCATGTCATTTGAGTATAAAAAAGTAGTTATGTTTACAATTTTCTAACTCTAATCTTTAGTCGAAAATTGAGGTAGTTATACACACCCATCAATGAAATTGCTTTCACAGAAGAGTCCAGTCAATGACCTAACTGATAGGGACATCAGAGAGGTCATTTCTCATTAATTGTATATAGAACATTAAATTTCTTAGAAATAAAACTGGAGGGTTTTTTTTCATTGTTTTCTGTGATCTTGTTATCAGAGAAGAATTTTTTTTTCTGTTTCGGTATTTAATAGAGGATTATCATGGTATCAAGATAAGAAACACAGTTCTTAGGATCATAGCAATGTCCCTCCAAGGTAATGGGAAAACTAATAGATCTTCTGTGGAATTTGCAAGGGTTAAGAAAGCTGTCTCTGTAAGTTCTCTATGTCTGATGCTTAAAGTTCATAGGCAGTCAACAAAGGAAGCCCATAGAACAGGCTAGAATT